AAAACAGGTCAGAGCTTCACACAGTGATGTGAGAGGTCAGGGACAGCAGCAGCTAGCATACTTGCGCACCGCCCTGGTCCTGGCTCCAGCTCGGCGACCAGCCGTTGCCGCATGTCTTGGCAACACTAGTCAGGAACACATCACCACGACGATCAAATACTGAGCTCTTGCATTGCAGCACCCTGCTGCCAACATCTTTCACTGTGCTCACGGACTGCTTGAAGATACTGATGCCGGGATGCGATCGTACTGCCGCCGAAATCCTGAGATGCATTATCCGTCCACGAAAGCACGCGAGATTCAAACAGCTTCCAATGAAGCCGGCGGAGAACAATCAGTTCTTCTAGTCTGGTAAAGATGTCAACACGAAACCGTTTCTTCGGGTAAATTCCGTTTAACTCTATCTACGCACCCTTCTACCACTGCACTTGGGGTGCACGCCACATCTACCTCTAAAAATTCAAGGCACGGCCACCTGGACTCTTTCCTTGTCCTTGGTTTACCGCCAGTCCCACTGACACTCAAATAAATGCTCAAAAGCTTAGTGCCGGTCCCAGCGGAACTCGTCGATCATTACCCAATCAGCATGCGCCTGCAAATGCACCTGAGAGCGTAGGCACTTGGAACGGATCTTCCACCAGTCATACAGATACCCCAACAAAGCCAGCAGCCGAAGATGAGTAGTCCCTTATACATGCACCAAGCGAGTTTCGCACCTGCCTCCTCCGGGTCATTCTCAAATTTGTCTCCAGCACTCCTGCGCCCAAAAGAGCAAACAAGATCACTCCTTGATTGGCACCGTTTCTCGCAGTCACGCGTGTCCCATTCATGAACTTGATAGTCTGATACAGCAGGGATTTGAATCCTCTGAATGTAAGACTTCGGTTGAAGCCTCAATTGCCTGTCTTTGCGATATGGCAGACCTGCTCGGCTATGGCTCAGGAAAACACGAACTTACCGTCCAAACGAGGACTGAACAAGCCGAATCAGAACAGGGTCAGAACAAGCTTGGTTTGTAGGACAGCCTTAGGCCGCCCCCCCTGTGCGTGAAGGGACATCAAAACTGCAAAGCCCTACTGTCGGGTATCGATTTTGATTTTTGGAGCGTCCCTCCCCCGGAAAATTGGGAATAAAACGGGTCCGCAGCAGTCTGAAAATTTTTAGTCGTGTGGAAAAGTTGTGGTCAGATGGCGGCGAGGGTCTGAAGTCATTTTTGCAGCCCCATCCACACATCTTCGCATGATCTTGGCGACCTGACCGCGTTCCGGATTTTACAGGCTAATAGGGTTTAGTTAGTTTAATATGCTTTATGTGGGAAGGTTGACAAGGAGCCAGAAAGAATGGCGAGCGCCGACGAACTGCTCTTCCCGTACAGGTGATGTTTGCATCCAGGCATTTGTTCCGTTCGTATGTATTTATCCATGCATATGAAGAATCAAAACTGCTACCAGTATGGCATATCTGCGGATCTTGGTGTAGGATATCGGATACAGGCCTCAACCGAATTGCGCCTCTCGTGTCACATCAGTGCCTCGCATCCCATGCCTATCCAAACTCGAGGCGCTTTCAGATGAAATTTTGCCGAGACTGCCAGGTCCCGGAAAGGATTCCAAGTATAAAGTCCACGAACCCGACCAAGGATTACTGGAAGTGGGATGAGGCAGTCGAATCCTGGTTCTCTGGAGAACGCCGGTATCAGCGCACTGGCAGCAGCCGATCTCAAGCTTCCAGAATTCAGCCGCCATCCCACGAGTTGTCTCCGGGAGGCAGGGCAAAAGGTGAAGCTTGCAAGGCGGTACCGGGCAGTTGTGCACACATCCTCGCTTACAGGCAGTTAACTGCAAATCTGCAATCGGCGCATGGATCCAGACAATTCAGCTTGTGCTGCAAGTGGCGTTTTCACCTGCAGCTACTTCGGAGCTGGGTGTGCACGAAATCGTGCCGAGTGCACAAATTCAAAACGAAGACCCCAGCAGCGGCCATGCCGCAGCTTCTTAGATTCTATGCGCTGAGTCTGAAGATACCCAGGCAGACTTTGTTGCTGCCCCAACGGCCGGTAAACTGCTGATGAGATCTGTGAATGACGTTCATTCGGGAGCGAGGTCTGAGGCATTTGCTCGACATTGCTCGACAGACCTGCATTTAAAGGTGTCCGGCCTGATCCCAGCAGAGAAGCAGTGAACTGTTGCCCGAAAAACCATGGTTCTGCTGTGCTCAGCAGGCAAATTTGCGAGATACGCAGTCTCTGCCTTGCTAGAAAGCCAGGATGGACCAAAACTACATGGACAAACCCCAGGCAGTATTCTCCTGAGATCAGCTAATAAGACGAACTACAACAGAATCAGTTGGCGGTGAGTGGTGTCTTCCGGCTGCCAGTCGGATTCTGACGTCGAGCCTTCAGATGCACAGGCTGTGCTGCCTTCCAGCTGCTTGTCGGATTCCGAGGGCGAGCCCGTAGAACATCTGCATTCCTGTGCCATCACATCAAGCTCCTGGAAAACCGATAGGACTTCCGCATAGCCACCTGCTTGAACGGTTCGCCCCGTTGGGGGTTAGCCCTCAAACCATTGTAAGAGCTTGACCCACCAAGTGACACTCAATTCTTTGGAAGCCAAGCACCCCATCTGCGTTCATAGCGCTGCGCCGCCTCCTCAGCTGTCAAGCCGCCACTGACGGCCGTCCTGCTGGCCCCGAGCTGCAGGAGTGCCCGGACTGTGGCTGGCTGGTTCTGCCGCACCGCTGCGTGCAAAGGAAAGCCTGGACCAGCGAGTCATGTCTGACTCAAGTACTTCTGCTGGCATGCCTTCCCTTTTACCACCGGAAACTGTGGCCAGGAGGTTTGGTGCCCCAACAAAGCTACACGGCTAACGAGGGTAGTTACACCCAGACTTGGAGCAACTGTCGCGGGAAAAGCTTGCCTTAATTATCCGTGCTTCCGCTCTTTGTCTGGCCGTGGGCACACCCCAGTCTCTGTCTGGCTTTGCTGGCTTGTTGTTTTTGCTGGGACCAAGGAGCACGAGCATGTACACTCCGACGCTCTTTCTCACCTCACTCTCTCCCGCTCAGTTTGCTTTCCTGCACTCGTCTGCGCAGCTGGCTGTGTGAGATCGCTGTGTCGCGTGAAAACCAGGTGCATCTACCAATCTACTGGTATTGTTTTATGGCTCCGTATATGTTCACACAGCTTGACCCTTGGTCGAATGCTTGGTGCGCGAGTCCCGACAGTTCCATGTCACGATAATTTTTCACGATTCGCTGATTCGCATTCCCAAGGAAAGACATAACGCTCCCTGTCATCTCAGCGAATCCCTGATTGAAATGTGGTATAACCTTCAAATCATCCCCAACGTGCACTCACTATCACTCACTGACGGCTACCTGCCTGCCGGCTTGTGGTGGCACGACTCCTGAAGACTGCCAATCTTTGGTTGTTCATCTGACTGGCTTTGAGGTGCTCCTGCATATGAAACAGGTGGGCCAGCCAAACCCGAGCAAGCCTGTTTGCACACACGAAGCCGTGTACTGACTGACTCCCCTCGGACATTGCTACGAACTCAATCTTGTGTGACACTCTGGGTCCTTCTCTCTCTCTGCTGTGCTCCGGGCAACTCCTAGTTTCTTCCTTCCTCACTCTCCGAAAACTGTTCCCTCTAATGGGTTGGCATGACCCCGTTTTGCAGGTGCAGTGCAGTGTGGGACTCGAATCTATCTTCAACAGCAGCTTGGACACGTCTGCAGCCCCAGGACCACTTGGCGCCGTTCACATGGAGGTACCCATTCTGCTCAAGGAAAGCAGCGACTAAAGCCGTGGATTTCGTTGTCTTGCGTGTCTTGCTGCTCCTTCTGGATGACAGGCGCTCAAGCCGAGCACTGCCAGCTCGTTCGAGAGAGCCCTCCAAACAGTCTGCGATAGTCAACGGAGATATGCTGCACGCGGGTCCTCGCAGCAACGCGCCCTACATCATCCAAGGGATCGGCGATTCGTTCAAGCTACAACAAGCGGACTTCATTCAACCGGCGAACAGGAACACATGTTCCCCGAGAGGGAGGAGGCTGCAGCTTTCGTAAGTTTACTCCCCCTAGTGCCAGAACACTCTGGATGACGAATAGAAACGTCAAACGCTGTCTCGGCAAAGTGGCGGAGAATGAATATAGAAGCTGTGCCTGGGTCCCTAAACTTGCTATTCTTGCCGTATGTCAGCTTGCATAAAACTAAGAAGATGAACGAACACTGTAACTATACCAATGACTCCAATGACATGTGAATGCATAAACAAAAGCCGCAAAATCTAGCCAACCAGTCAACAAAATTATTATCACAGATGTTATGTGTACATATCCATCCATCCATACATACACGTATAATTATTGTATGTCTGCACATGCACCATCCTTCAGACACGTGCATCTCTCTCAAAAAATCTTTGAATCTAGATTAGACGGACCATGACTGCCGTCCTCCAGCTGGAAGATATCGCTCCGACTCTGCATCATGGAGGGGGCTCGGCTTCCTTCGCAGATAAGAAAGGGACCGTGTGTGGTGCCAACGGCGGTGCTGCCGAGAGGTTAGCCCGTGGACAGAGGTGCATCGATCTTTTGACTGCAAGATGAGCTCTCCTCGCCCCCACGTGTTGCGCAGAAAGCATGGCAACCAAAACGAGGCAGAGCGGGAGGACCCTATCGGCTAAACTGACCTAGAGTTGGGCGTCGGCTGCGAGCAAATTAGTCGTTCGCACCCGCCTTGCCTAGGACTTTTTTTGGCATTCACTCTCGACAAGGCAGGCGAGGCTCTGCTCAGCAAGGATGCGAAGTTCAGCTGTCGGAGCAAATGCACCCCCACGAGACGGCTAGGATTTCCTCTGGAAATCTGGCCGTCACGAAGGGCTAGAGGTGTGACGGCGGATCTTTGGCCATCTTAGCCAAAATTCTTTAGGGCGACTAGGCAGGACGCAAAGCAGGCAGCGCAAGGTCGACAGAAGTTGCCCACATCTTGATCAAGATCAGTAGGTGGCCGCGAGGTCCTGGGGCTTCATGGGCAACGTTTTGGGCCGGGCGAACCAAGGCATCGAATACTTGACACGTTTTCCGTTCAGGTCAACGCCTGCAGACACCCTGCCAGCAGCACCACCGTACATCTGCTTGAAAGCCTTGTCGTGCTGCTCGTGACTTCTCCAATCGAACACGCGGTTGAAAATAATAGAGTCCATGATGCTCTGCTGATTGGGAGCACTCGTGTAGCAGCGGACTCCCCTCATCGGGGGATCGTCACCACCAGCCGGAAGGCAAGAGATGATAGCTGCATAGTCCTCGGCAGCTTTGGCAGGGAACACCTGCTGATCATTCAAAGAGCTCCTGCACTGCACGGCAATCCGCTTCGCCACAGCACCGCGACCTTCGGGACATCCTGCCCCTCCGTGGAAAAAGCTCGGCAGCTTCACCTCGTTCCGCCATTCCTTCTGCAAGAACCCCAAGTCTCTTCTGCCTGGTGCTGGCGGTGCCTGCGACATGGCTCCGGGACCAAGGCCGGCTAGATGCCACCAGAAGTTGACCCTTTCAAACTGCCTTCATCCCTGCATAGATGCAGTCGCAGTGTTGTATCTCCCTGCATCAGATGAAGCTTCTCCGGACAGCGCTGGGCCTGCAACTTATGCGGTACATGACTCTGATAGCCCTTCCTGTTCAATAGTCCAAGCGGTGTCCTTGCCTCGGCTTGTTTTGAGCCAGCTTGAGCCAAAAGACATGTAAGAACTTAGTTTACCCAGCGGCTCCCTGCAGCACACCCTACCAAGCACAATGCGCATGCACACCTGCCAATTTCACTAGAGCTCATCCAGCAACTGCACTTGTATAGGCAGGACAAGTTCAAGAAGCACTCGTCTCAAAACGTGAAGGCTGCACGTCATAGACATAGGCGGGCTTGTCCAGATCCTTGTCCTTAGAAAGCTCCATGTAGACGGAAGACTATCTGTCTACTGGTGCTCGCTGACTGAACACTACCTGTGCATGAATGTCTGCATCTCTTCCCTATACACTCCTGATGTCGAAACATAATGGCATTTGGTTCCATCCATTCTGGAATCAACCAAAACAGCATGGTTGCGAAATCCTATCGATGTGTCATGGAACTTGGTGCGGGTCTGCTTTGTTGGTCGGGAGCTGCTTCAGTAAGCCCTGACCTGAACAACACTGAGAGCCACTGCAGCACTACTGCTACCATTCACAACAAGCTGGTCGGGTGGAGTTGGCGCACTTTCACCCCAGGAAATGCCACACATGCCGTGCGATACCTTTGAACGCCCCACCAGACTGTGGCATGCATGAACAAGCATTTTCTTTTCAGTCAAGCCTTGCATCCTGTAGTACTCCGTCGGGTGATCCTGGCAAATCAAAGCCACGGGCGTTGCAGACGCTGTCTCTCGAAACGATAGCAAACAGCCTTCAAAAGGGCACATCTGCCGTAATCTGCCAGCAGGTACCACCTAGTAAGAGGTGTCTTTGTGAAGCTCTTAGTGTCACGTCGCATGTACCAGCGGCCATGCATCAAGCCTGAATGGAGCTCATTTTGCAACATTCTTTGGAAGACTTCGCCGGAACGAAATTACAAGCCTGTGCTGCTGGCAGACTGGCAAGCCTTCAGGCTTATGCATGACCGTTGAAGGTGCGAGTCTGAAGCGGCTGAAGATTCAGGATCCAATACTTCGCCATCCAAAGCTATCTGCAGTCAACTTCCAAAGCCCACACTCTCTTTGAAAGGCCAAGCATGGTCTCAGGTATGTCCAAAGCCCAGGCTGTCAGTGTAAGGCCCGGCGGTTTCAGCATGAAGACAGCTGCCAATCCCTAGCCAAGGCTAAGGCTTGCAAATACTTCTGCCCCAAGATCCATCCGTGAGACCTGGCCAGCAGCCGGGGGGCTTTCGATTTGGGGGGGGGGGTCAAATGTTCAGATATGGACTCTTCCTAAAGGATTTGCTCCATGCGCGTAGGGCAATTTGAGGATGTCTCTTCCTGAGCACCCTCTGTTACTTTAGGTATTCCGCGCCAAGCGATGCAATAGGTGTTGGCCGACATGCAACAACAAAGCTTCTATCGAGGCGAATGCAGCCCGAAAATGTAATAGCGACGGGGGAGCCCAATGCCAGTGGAGAAGGTCGTAAAGTTCGCCGCGTTCATGCCTCACACGGCTCGTTTAGGAGTCATGCTTTTGTTTCGTGTATTTGCGCTTAGCAAAAGTTCTGTAGCTGTCACTGTCGGTTCGCTGGACCGATATCTGAATCCCAGGCTTTCAGTGTCCACCTGTGTGCAATGATCGGTTTTATTTTGTGGGGAGCGCAATCCGCTGTGCCCAAAACAACCAGGTGGAAATCTCTTCGAGAAGTCCACTCCGATTTCAACATGGCCCCACCAATAACGGAATGGCGTTTCGTGGCGTTTCCCGCTGCCAGCAAATACCACTGCTTTCGCTGCAGTGTCAAGGCTCCTGACGGCTCCTGCTCACGCAGAGACTCGCGCGGTGAAGCCAATGGAACTTCTGGAACGCAGGCCACGCTCTTTCAAAGAATATGGCTTTGCTCATCGGGCAATTGGCCGAGCTGCTTCCAAAGATAGAATTACTCAGAATTATTCATGTATTGCCCGAGCCCTGCCGGTTTTACCTGTTTGCACGGGCATGGAAACTTTCTGGCGACGGTGTGGCAAATCCAATGGAGAGGCCCACTCAGCCATACTGTACCTACAGTGTGTCCTATCGATCTTGAGCAGCCCAGCACATTGCCACGAAATGATAACGTGGCATTCAGCCATTTGAAGATCTTAGCTGCTTTTTGCAGCTCCAAGGTCTCGAAAGTGCCAGCAAGCATGGCCCACTCCACAGAGTTCGCCACACTCCGGGCTCTGCCAGATCGGGCATTGAGTGGTCTCTGTTGGAAGACGCCCATCGATTCCAGATTGTGAAAAATTGTTATAAGTTTAAGGAGCCTAGTGTGCGGTTCTTCCAACAAAGGTGTTGGTCTCAGCTTGGAAAAGCAATGGCACTTATCGACTTTGCAAGCATCCTTCCTTCGCGGCGAATGACCTCGGTACTTATGATACAGACAGACTATAGCAATAGTCAGAGTCAGAATAAGACATTGCGCGAGAAGCTGCCTAGGTTTGGACAGGTCACCAGCCATGATGTGCTCTGGGGCTCATGGCGCTGCGCAGCAAAGCCAGCCTAAGCACCGGCCCCACGCGCTCGTTCTCAGGGCTTGATCATGTGCAATCGGCACAATCCTTCTGACGACGACAATGACCAGCGCGACAAGAGGTGTTGTGCTGCTGCCGATGATGATCATGATGATGGTTTTTTTGCCTCCTTGATGATGGTGGTGATGCTGATGAAGGCATTGATGCTGCTCTCGTGTGCTGTCGAGACCCTCCACGAAAAATATGGGGAGTCATCACCAGCTTACCTAACCTCTTGGATCATCATCTCTTCTGACTACTACAAAACCTGCCGGTCCTATCCACATGCCTGGTCGCTGCAGGACACGGTTTGATAATTGAAAGCTCCTTCCCCGTGCGTAAGACCATGCGACTGAGAGTGCTGAAGGCAAAATAGCTCCAGCAGCAACCAGCTTAAATAAGTCTTCCGGCCTCCTCCACTGGGTGCCGGAGTCTCCTCTAAGAGGATCGGTTTCTCCTGAACAATGCAGCACACAAGTCGGCGTGAGCTGTGTGCCTACATTGGCCCTACATCCAATCTGCATGCTCAGTGTCCAGTTCTTCCACTTTGTTGATCCCGTTGACCTGCGACACAGCCTCGGCTGAGGCTTTCGTCGCAGCCTCCTCCTGAAACATGCACCGCGTTCAAGAAAAGATTGCCTGGGGTTTTGGAATATGTGGCTCCAAGAACAAAACGAGCCTCGTCTTTTCTACGCCCAGCAAGCTCACAAATGATGTGCTGTGCACGCTCATTCACAGGTCCTCTACCTCCACATTGGCAATGGGCGTCGTCACGCTGCTAGGCACAACCTGATGAAGCAAACGCCCGGTTGGCAATACTGCAATCTTCAGCGCTTAGGACTTCACCTTAACCAAACAGAAGCACAAAACACTTCCTTCCGACCTGGCCCCACCTAGCCACGGAATGACAGCTATGCAAGTTTTGCGCCTCTTTGGACTCTTTGACATTCTCGTGTCTGGTGCCCGGCTTTGGTGGGTTCGTAGCACCTGCGTCACGAAGTTTTCACGGACGTCACGACGTAGATATCAACACCGAAAACGACACCCGCGAGCATGATATCGTACCAAGGATTTCGGTGGAGTCTCATCCATGCATGTCTGCTGGCGCATCATGGCAGGTTGTAAGGTCGAACAGGCAAAGAGGAATTCTTCCGCTGCGCAAGCTGAATAGTCGTTGAACCAGCCAGGGATAAATAGAAGTACAGGACGGAGGCGACACGAAACTTTGTTGGCCCAAAGTCTAGCCTCTGACTGATCTCGGGACAGCACTGTATTTGTGGGTTGGGCAAGAATGAAAAAACAGGCAATGTGGCAGCCACGGCACCTTTCCTGGTGATCCCCGCTTCTTTTCGAGCCATCCATTCAGCGATCCTGTCTTGGCATTAGCATGGCCACCATAGAACGTGTAGCAAAATCAGAAAGGAGTCATCAAAAGCGTCAATCCGACCGTAGTCTCGCTCGCTCCTGGACGGGTTATCCTGCGCCAAAGGGAAGTACAACGGGATGTCCTCTGGCTTCTTGGTGCCTGCTTCAGCCCAGGGTCAAACGGCCCACTGTATGTTTCTACATGATTGTTGATCTGATTCCCAGTTGCAAGACACTGTGCAGAAGCTAGCTCGGTCGAGACCCCCACCCCCCAGCGTCCCCCCCGACACCCCTCTCACATTGCCAACACTCCTACTCTAAAGCTCTATTTGGGCGACCTCTCTTGGTCATTCTCGACCTTACATAGGTCACAACTACACACCCACTCAGCGGGAGATGCCTCCGAGAGAAGGTGGGAACATGCTTGTTGGCCCCACGACTCGGAGCTGTGCCTGCCCAGGGTCCGTCAACAACTCGCTTTCGGGATTGACTTCTTCTATCAGATAACAACCGATTCTCTAATTCAACTCCAACTTCGGCAAACGAAAACAGTTTCTTCTTCCGGGCCTTGCTTTGCAGCGTCTTCTGCGGCTACGTGAAACCGACACAGGGCAACAGCCCAGCAGAACCCGGCCTGCACATCTGCATCGGAAGCGCTTCCGAGAACTTTGAGTCGGGCAGATTGCCTGCGAAGGCGAGACGTGAGTCCTGTATGTATGTATATATATAGAATATATAGATAAATAGTCTTCCATATTTGTTCAGCGCACGTATGCGCTTCTTCCTTCATCATGCTTCCTGCAGCACTGATCTCCACGGCGAGCCAGCAAGATGCTAAAAGGCTCTCCTGTCAGGCATCCGACTTACCGCACCTCTTGGTCATGAAGGTGTGGGCAAACATGACGACAAAGCGAATGATCCAGGGCGCGTTCACGATCAGAAGGAGGATATCATGATCACCTTAAACAAACGCATGCGAGCTATCACCTGCCCGCGTGTAGGCAGAGTAGGCTGCCCTTCCAACTTCACAGAACGAAGGTCCATCATAACGTCTGCCGGGCTATACTACGAAGGCACATGCGTTCTTTAAGCGAAAATGCTCAGGGAAATGTGGGCTTCATTTAGAAGTTAGAAGTAATCAGCATCCGTAGTGTCACGAAAACGCCCCACCGAAGCCCACCCCTGCCCAGTTCTAAAGAAGGGGAAGTCGCAGTACATGGACATCATCTGCTTGGCGTTGTCTTGAGCGAACTTGCGAACTTCATACACCCGAATGGGCAGGATCTCCCTTCCCAAATGCTGCGCGTCGATCCTCAGCTACGAAGCTTCAGCATCAGCAGCGTGTGCAGTGCAGACTTGAAAACTCAAGCCTCTGAAATGGACGACAAGGATCACTTTGATGGAGTACAGCATTTTCTTCTTCTCGTAAGATCTGTCATCCACACGCTTCATCATCCACTCCATGCCTGCTCTCACCAGCATCAGGTCGTTCTCCATCGTGTGGCATGCCGGGCGCTGGCTGACAAACTCCTGCGCCTGTACCCAAGAGATTGGCAAATTCCACGTGCTGCATGGCCCACTGGTTGCAGTGCGTAGACTCAGTAGACTTCCCGTTGCAAATCGGATACTGGCCTTGAAGTACCCCGGAGACACGAAGATCACTGTGTGCCCGTCCTTCATTGTCCGGGTGCAGCAAACAGGCAAAGCAGCCCCCGCGCTACTTGATGCTGGCAGCAGAAACTTGGACACCCCCTACACCCTCATCGCGAAGAAGCTCTTTGAGGAGATGTTCCGACCGTCCTCTGTTTCGGCAAAGCCGGGTACCAAAACGGGTGAGTATGGTGACCTTCCCACAGCCGCATGCATGAAATACAGTGGTTCTACTGGTCAGCAGCAGTACTGGCTGAATATGTGGATGACGTTGACGAAGCCGGCTGCGATGAAAAGGTCGACGGTGAAACTTATGATGTTGAAGCTTTAGGTTAGGACGGGGGTATTACTGTGTCTGCTGCTGCTTCTGCTGCTGCTGCTGCTGCTGCTATGCTGTGTTTTGACCTGGTGTAGTAGTCGTCGTCGCCGTCGTGGTTGTGGTAGTAGTACCCGTCGTCGTCGTAGTAGTAGTAGTAGTAGTAGCAGCAGCAGCAGTAGTAGTAGTAGTAGTAATAGTAGTAGTAGTATTGTTTTTTTTGCTGTTGCTGCGGGAGGGTGTGTGTGTGTGTTTTATTTTTGCTGTTGCTGCCGGGGGGGGGGTTTTTGTTTCTGCTGTTTGGGCTCCCAGCGGCAGTTCACTCACTTGCTGGCTCGCCGGGGCTTGCACAACAACAAAAAAGCAGCAACAGCAAAACAACAACACCCCTTCCCGTTGTGGCCGTTGTGGCTGTTGCTGGTGGTGGCACTGCTGCTGCTGGTGCTGTTGTAGTTCTTGTTGCCAGTCGGTGCTGGACAGGTACATGCCTTATCTCCAAAGCAAATCGTGATGAGCGTGGACTGAACAGAACGACTCACATCAACATGATGAACCACATGAGCCGCATGCTCCTGAATCTGCATCCCGCCTTGCCGAATCGCACCAGGCGTGGAAGTCATCCGGATCTAGGTCAATTAGGCCCTGGCCAGAGCGGCGGTGGATGTAACAGTTCAACGGGCACAGCAGACCCAGTGCACGCACCAGGCACACATCTTGAGCGTGACACATACCGGTATCACAACGATGGCCTGATAAGCTTCATCCTGTAAGTTGAACGCGGCATCCCAAAACCCCTTTCAACAACGCCAACACCTCATCGAAGGAACATTAGTACATCACTCACCGCACACACTGCAACTGGCTGCGACGTCTTGGTGACTACAACACTCAGACTCAGATCTCAAGACCGGTCCATTCCGCCACACGGCGGCCTGGCTGTTGCAAGTTGCAAACATCCCGGCAGCACCTTTCTCAGGGAAGGGATGTCCTCCTGCACCCACCACTTCAAGAACTCGGCCAGCCCCTTGGCAGCCTGCACTGGGGGATTCAAGAACCAACTGCGCGTTTTCCGCCGTCTTCAGGCTGTCCTCCTTACAAATGCTGTGGATCAAAGGCCAAATTTTGGCACTTCGCACTCGGCCTCGTTGACCTTGCCACCATAGAAGCGAAGGTACCGGCACACCCGGATGTCGCCGACAACCTGTCAAGATTACAGGAAGGTAGAGGAAGACTGGCGAGGGATGCACAAGGGGTAGAAATAGAAGTAGAAGTAGTGAGTAGTAGTAATGATATTCGTCGTCGGCGTCGTCGTAGCAAACTCCACTGCTACTGCTACCGCTAGCCCCTGCCGACTCTTGGCTGCTATTCCCGGCCCTGGTCCCATGCCCACGACTCCCACGGCTCCACGGCTGCTGATTCTCGTTTTAACTTACTATAGCTACTCCTCCTGACATGAAAGAAACATAAAGAAACACAAACGTCGTCGACCTTAAGAGTACCACCAGAGACCATCCCACCGGGCACAACCGCTCAAAACCACGCAGGCTTCTCACGGCGCGACCGAGTTCCGTAGTCCCAACATCTTCCACACATGAAGCCCTAGAGGCCCTAGACTCTAACGCATGCGACTCAGTGGCATCCCGTGGTTGTTCAGGCATCGCGGCAATCTCAGCCTGCAGTGACGAAAGCTGGGAACCGAAGTCTGGGTGGGATGTGGTCCCCGGAATCCCTGACTCTGCTGAAGCCGGAGTGGAAGCGAATCACAACCTAAGGTATAGCTTTCAACCGCGGCCATAACCGGAAAATTTCCATACCGCAAGCACAGGAATGATTGGGTATCCGTCTTTGACATTGCTACAGGGTTAGCAGCAGCAGTAGTAGTAGTTGTTGGTGGCAGTGGTAGTGGTAGTAGTAGTCGCAGTAGAAGTAGGCACCTGGAACAGGCCGGTCTCATCAAGGGGGTGCTTGATGGGTTTATCGGGTTTTTGCGTTGCTGCCTTCTGTGGCTCATGGAATTTCATGTTCCCGCCAATCTAAGGCTTGTGTTAACCCAGCTTCGAAATTACAATTCCGTCAAGCCCAACTCTCTGACGGCCCATAGAATGCTGACACAGTGGCGGCGCATAGCTTTCGTATCTCCTCCACCTGTTCATGCAGCCACTACATCCCAGCGCGACTGTCGTGACGTGAGCGGCTATGATTCGCCAGCTGTGGTGCTTTCGGAAGAGGCTACAGGAGGCAAAACACTACGTTTGCCCAGCTGCACTGCAGAGTCTAGTCAGTGTCTGGAGTACTCCCACTCGCACGGTGTTGAGGTGTGCGTGACATCGAGCAAGAACTCGATCAAGACAACTACCCAAAGGACTGAGAACTTTGGGTCCCGAAAACTTCCCTGCAAGGCCTGGCGGAGCTCTTCATCGGAGGGCCAAGAGCAATCCTTGCACAGCTTCCAAACAGTCATCTCTGCCGTGCCGGGTATGTCGCCGGCCCAGCAATGTGCAGCCGGGGCTCTGCGCCATCAAGCTTGGCCATTTCTGCTGCGCAAGGCTTGGAGGACTTCACTGGATGCCGATAGCAAGTCCAGCCAAATGCTGCGGCACACAAGCAAGTCCCTTCGTCCAGGCCCTGAACTCTCACAACACTATGCCGTGATATGCCTCCGTGCCATGCTTGGGCTTCTGGCCGATTGCATCGATGAGCAGCGGGCGCCGCCAGTCCTTGAGCGAATGGACCTCTCACTGCCTCTCACCCTGCACAGGAAGAGCAACCCTTAGGCTGGGAACTTGCCAGTCGACCATCCGATTTCATGAACACTCATGCTTGCGATCGCGCTGAGCACTCTGAGGCCAGATCCCCATCACACCAGACACCGGTCTGCGCAGGATGCAGTACTAAATACTCGCGACTCTACACGAAGGAACCGGGGCACATCTGCTCTGGACAGGTCCGATGTCCCATTCATTTGCTCCCAGGGTGGCTGGCCATCTGCGTCATCTTGTGCAGCCGATCCACCGCCCAGTCCCCCAGGAGTCCCAACCTCACGAGCGCATTTGCACAGGAGCCGCGATGCCGAGGGCACCCAACTGGATCTACTAACCGGGTTCCAGGAATCGAACGTTTTGTCAATTCTGTCCAACTCATGCTCTAGGGTTCCCAGTTCCCGGGCGGATGAACAAAAGAGGAAATGCTGCCGACGTCGGGTTTAGACCTTGCTCTTTTGGAAGGGTTGCACGCAGGAAGCTGGGGCTCCCGCGACTTCAGGATAACAGTCACGCCCTGTCCAAATCAGATCACGGCTCCACAACATTCCACGACACGTGTCTGTTCGTTCGACTCGTCTTGTCGACGCTGCGCTCCTCTAAAGGCAACTTCGATCAAACCAACTCGCCATGGTAGCCAATCTGCCTCGAGCTTCCGGCCACCAGTCAGATGCACAGTGTGCTTTGTGAGCCTGGCGCTAGAGACTATAGACTGACTAGACAGGTGTGGTAGAGTGTCGAGCTCTGCAGTTGGATTCGGCCCTATACACCTTACCCTGCCATGCGATCACGCAGGTCCTTCTCAAACAGTGGTCCTGTTCTGTCCAGCTGTGCCTTCTGACTGCGGAGCTACAGCAGGCAGGAACCGACACTTTGTCCTTTCTAGAGCCGTTCAGCAGACAGCCAACCTGTCCCAAATTCGAGTTGCGGTGGCTTCAGTCGATCATTGCCTGCCTCGCCTCAACAAACCCAAGGTAACCACCCTTGCGGAATTGTGTCTGCTGGGTCCTCTTCACGGTGTCCTGGATGTATTCGAGCCTCAGCGCACTTGTTAAAGACCTTCTGAATCTTGATTTCCACGGGATCGCAGTCAAGAGTAAACAATTTCTCTCAGCAAAGTCATGATTGAGGCTGCAGCTTTCCATAGATAACCATCAGAAACGTCACATCGCCGATGCCGAAGCGGCTGTTCTGGACGACGCTCACCTGCAGGTCAGGCTTGTCACTTTCCGGCCCGTGCAGACCTTTAATATGATGATAGAGTGATTCTCAAGCTCGAAACGTGCGAAACTCGGTGGCACTTTGCTTCGGCCTTGCTGCGGTCTTGGCTGGCATGTACGGACCAATACTCCCACGGATCACCGAAGTCGGCCAACTCGTACATTGGCCTCAGATCAAGCGGCAAAGCACCATGCCAAGAATAGCACCTGCCGAGCTTGTCCATCGCCATGAACGGGCTCAGACTCCATTTTTCGACTACAGTTTCCGCTGCGCCAAGTCCTGTCCATGAGCCAAGCGAGCAAGTCAAGGAAGTTCCTATGTAGACTGTCTGTCGTCCTGCCTGACATCTCCTTACCGTCAACGAAACGCATGCAGATAATTTACCTTCTTGAGGTTTCCGCTCTTACGCCATCTCCACAGAAGCCCTAACAGTCCGCATGCATTCAACAAAGATGCACAAATGGGTAATGGGAAATGGGTGTACACAGCAGAACACACGGTGGAGCCTGACACTGCACCAGGGTGCCCTACTCACATATTGCGCAAAGAGTTTGCATGAACCGGATTTCCCGGACGAGTCCTGCCAGCGCGACTTCCGGCCGTCTTGCGTTTGGGCTTGACGCAGCTTGGCCCGGTTGGACAACAGCTCCGCAAGACCGTCGGCGGCCTCGTGGCGATGAATCTCCAAGTTACCTTCCATTTGGCTTGTAGCATATTCATCGAGCCTGGGCCTACGAAATTGGCTTACCTTGACTTCTGGCACAGGGCTTGCAACTTCACCCGCCGGTTTAACTTGAACATATCATGACGGTGTAAGCTCTGGCGCCCGCCTGCACCTCGGCGCTGCTGCAGAACTCTGTTGGAAAGCCGCGGCCCCCGGCCTCGCAAGCGTGGCCCATGGGTACCGCAGTTTCCGCAGTTCGCAGAGTCGGCCTGGCAAGGGAGCTCCTTGGCCGTAAGGCTCTTGACGACGTGCTGGCGTACACCTTATAAGCCGTCTCGGAAACTCTGGAGCGCTCGTCCATCAAACATGAGGTTCTATTGGTGCCCTTAATTACTAGGCCTTGTCCATGCTGGATTAGCTGTCGTCGGGAGAGCCCTCGGATTCCCCCCACAAGATTCAGAAGCATGGAGAAGCTGCAGCGGAGCTTGTCATGCTAAATTCCAGGACAATTGTCCCTCCGTATTCCTTGAGCAGACCCTGAAACGTGCGATTAACAGATCTCCGGGCGTGTGCTACTTGGACCTATGTACGATGGAAACCAGTCTTACCTGGGTCAGCTCGCCTCTATTGCAGCCCAGCGGCTCTCATCTCTGATGCCGGACCTAAAGAGAAGAGCCGTCACGCTAGAAACCTGACACAGGACAGGGAAACACTACATAGGTATATTTCCTGTCGAAGCTGAAGGGCTCGATAAGTTTTGACTGCCGGGAGAAAGGTCCGAAACCCAGAAGGCTCGACAGTAGCCGTCGTGGCCTGGCCGTCCTCTTCGCAGCGTGCCAGGTGCGGTCGCCAGCCTTCGGTGCCTCGGAAAACTTGACCGCAGGAGTCGAAACTCAGGGGCAGCTACAGTAGCCAATGTTTAGAGCCAAGGATGGAGTCTACCTCTACACTCCAACAGCGCAGCAGAAAATTCACGCTGTAAACAGCCTCAGTAGATCTTTGCTATGAGAATTCAGAGCTTCCTTTTGTCCCAGGGGCCACCTGCCGTTTTCTCAATTGCCCACCGCAGCTCCTCCTCTTGGTGCTCACTGAGCTCCTGCTTCAGGGAAAGCAGGCGGACTGTGGTGCAAGCAAGGTGCCCCTGAGCTCTTCAGACTGGGACAATCCTTCTTGGGGAGGCCCAGAAGCTTTGGCATCTCTCCACCACAAAGGCTGTGGATATGGTGCCGCAGAACAACCTTTCCACCAGAGAGCTGCAGAGACATAAAAAGCCGCGTCTTGCGCACAGTGAGACTTTCGAGCTGGCAAGCTCGCTTATTCATAGCAACAGCTACAGAAATATACAGAACAGAGATGTCTTCCACTCTTCTGGCTGCAAATGACTTCAGTGCGCTTTACAGAACCTCTTCCTGTCCTGCTTGGCCGCTCAGCTGCAAGAAGTTGAATGCAGGCTTGCCAACTTGCAAACTGACAATTTGTGGGACGAACCAAGCTGGGGGGAGCTTGTCGGATCTCGCAGAGTAACGTTGGCGTCTGTCTGCGCATGCCGCAATGCAGCATCTGCGCTCCTTGGTGACCGCAAGTCTAAAGTCTAATGTCAGAACGGTGTGATTATTTCGTCTCTGCCTGGGCTGAAAGATGAAAGGGTCAAACACTTGAGAAAGACTTGGGTGTTAGTCGCGGTTGCCGAGAATCATTGTTGCGCACACAGAAACGAGCCGCACTTGAGGATCGGGATGGCTGTGGAACCTCTGCATGCAGGAAGTTGAAAATGCATCTATGCAGCGTGTATGCCGGCAGGCAAGCCAGGCAAGCAGACATCCTTGCTCTGCATGCTGCCTGCATGCATCCCTGTCTGTACGCTCGCTCCCTGCTGCCTCTGTTTGCATGTAGATGTGCTGTAGTTCAATGACAGCTGGCCACTCCGGGACTCTCTGAGATGCAACCGAGCGGCTGGCTGAGCCAGTGCCTCGCCACGGGATTTCCCAAGTCGGAGAGGATGCCGAGCGAGTTCACACAGCGCCGCAGGAAAGACGTCTTCCCCGGACTGGGAGTCTTCTCCTCGGTTGCTGATATTGTGAAATGAAATATCTCTTTTTCTGCCAGAGCGAGTAAGTGTGGAGGCCCAGTCACACCTTCACTGGAGGTCTGTGTCATGGCGGTTCCCAGAGCATCCGCCATCAGCGTGATGGATTCTGAAGCCGGATCCTCCAAGCTGTCGACGGCCAGCACACCTCATAGCCAACTTCATCAGCTATGCGCCGTGAAGCACATTGCTCGCTCGGCCGTGCTGTGGTTCCGTACTTAGCACTGAAGGCCCTTGCTCTGGGTCTTCAAGAAAACTGAAGACGTATGACTGTGCACGAAGCTCGCGCCCTCTTGACACGTCAAGCCCAGGCACGCTCCGCGGCACACGCAGCCTGGATTCTGACATCGACATCCGGGTCGCTGAGCGCATTGATCCACATGCCCCGGTTTACTTGAGCAGCCTGCGTTTGCGGTGGCTTCATGGCATCCGGGTCTACACTAAGCATTGTAAGCTTCTCCAGCAAAATGGGGACCCCAACCGTGATAGGGTGCTAATGCGAGACGTCCTGCACTCCCCAAGGTGCAGGGACAAGGAAGCAGAGGCCTCTTCATCTCCAGGCTCCATCTCCAGTGCTGTCATTGTCTGCACCGCAGCCAAGCGAACCTCCGAACTGCTGTCCTGCCAGGCCGGAACTCTGTCCATGCTCAGACAAACCCTGTAGGCTTCTGTTTCAGTTCTGCCCAGACCCTTCGAGGGTCCTTACTTACAGTCAAACCCCAGAGCTTTGAAGCTTCTTGCATTGCAGAATGTCAATATCACCGAAGCACCTTTTGCCGAAATTGTGCAGAACTCCTCCAGAAGGCATAGCACGAGATCGCACACACGCTGAGGAGAGACGTCGTCAAGGACCATCCGCCTGGTGCAGTAGGGCTTTTCGCTAACCTAATGTTGACATGTTGGTGGCTCCCGTCCTGCCAACAGCAGTTGAATTCAGGCTATGTCCAGCCGCGCCTCAGTGCTCCCACCGCATCACGGCGCACGCCGGGTGCCTTCAAGCACAAGCGAGGCGAAGTTCTCCATGCTTGTCGGCTTAAGCCTTCTTGAACTGCAAAAGACATCCAGACTGATGACCAGTAAGGTTTACTCAAAACTCATCCAAGATGATCTATTCTATGTGTTAGGCCTCGCATCGTATTGAACACCTTGCTTTCGCATAGGACCTCGTGGCAGCGGCCTCGTGAGATGCGCAGCTTGCTGCCAGCTCGAAAGCGCCTGGGCCGTTCAGTGGCTCTGCATTTCTGAGTGCCCGATCTCAAGCTGCAAACAGCTGTGCGGTATGATCTGCTGGCAAGCACTGCACCTCGGACTGGTTTGACGAAGCAGGACTGGACGACAAACATGCGAAGAACAGCACAATCTCACCCACTCGATCATCCGCGATAGTCTCGAGAGCTGAAAGTCGCCTGCAGACTGAAACCGTTTTTCAACAACTCTGACGAAGTGAGTGCACCGAAGCAAATTCCACTTGCTACTTCAGGCCGGCATTCCCCAAAGGGCGCCTTTAGCTGGAGATGCGGCTGCCCAGCCTCGCCAAGTGGAGGCTACAAACGGCATAACATAAGGAAACAAGTTGCAACTTCAACTTCCCCAAGACAGGATGTGTCATGGCACGGTGGCCTAGATTTCGCTGTCTCCAGCATGCGGACTGCACAACAGGCCGTACCTCAGAGTCTGGATGCACAAACGCGACCCCGAAACACTGTCAAAATAAAAACTCGATCATCGTAAGAACTGCATGCGTGACTCAACCATACGGGAAGCCAGCACCGCATCTTAGGGCATGTAGCCCTGCAGCAGATGCTAGACTGTATGCGAGGCTGTCACCTAGTAACCGTCCTCAAGACGAATCCGAACGCTCCTAGCTGTCTTTGGGCTGCCCGGCCGGCCGAATTAAGCAGCCTCCAAACCAAATAACTCGTGTCAGGAACCTGGCGTGATTCTGGAAAGCTTCCACTTGCCCTGTCCTGTGTGAGGAGCCCCACACCCTTCCCCAGTGCGGAAGCAGGGGCGGCTTCAAGCACAGCTGCTGGCTCCGCGGCTGCCAATTGCTGCCTCGCGGCCACAACAAAGACTGCAGAGGAAAGGGCAGGGGAGCGCAGGGAGGGGAGGGAAGGAGAAAGACTAAGAGAAAACGAAGCAACAGAAAGAGTCAGAAAGAACGAAAGCAAGATTCCAACGAGAGAAAAGGTAGTCATTGCTGGATTTCACCATTTATTTTACAAGCCCATTAGGAACTCTTGGAATTATTCCAGCATGTCCTGTTGGGTTTTCGCTTACAGCAGCAGAGTCGCAGCCCCAGCAGCGCCGCGTCGACGCGACGTGCCTGCTCAGAGCCTCGAGCCTTCGAGGTCAAGACCTGGGCACTGAACAGAAAGTCACTACGAGGGTTTAGGGTTTAGGGTGAAGTCAACAGATATTCAGATATACCTTTACTCTTCACATCGTCCATGTGGACGTCTGCGAGGACTCTGCGTAGGCCTAAGCATTTAGGCTCCCGTGGTTTGAAGACCTTCAGTTCAAGTGAGCGGATATAAGCATGTCGACACAATCTATGCCAAGTGTTTATTGTTCTCTCTTTTCTTTCTGCTGGGCTTAGGGGTCACTGCGTGACCCTCAGGCCGTTGGCCCGTCCAACCACACAATGCTTTTATTGAGTGGCTGGCATTGGGGTCCTCTATGACTCTTTCTCTTTGTTCGCTTCTCTCCCGCTCTCTTCTTCTTCTTCTCCCACAGGGCTTGGGGGATGTGCGAGACCATCGCCGGGCCGTTATGGCCCCCCATATGCCATGGGTTACACTCTGTCTTTTCTTTAACGAGCCAGCAAAAAAGGGCAAGCTTCAGCAGCTAAGTACACAAAGGCAGAGCGTAGCCCAGCTTGGGGTTTTTCCCCGGTGGAAGTGACTAGATGCCACGGGCCCTGACAGCTACACTCGCATGAACAAACCACACGATCATGGACGCAAGAGGTGCACTGTGTGCGGGCTCCGAGCAAGCAGCAAGCCTTCCGGAGGCAAGGACATCGATTCCCCCAGGGAAAGCTCCCCTGTATGGTTGTGACCATTGTGGTTGGGCCTCTTCGCGTCGTCTAGGGCGAGCAAATATGACATGAAGGCGCCTCTCGCTCTATTCTATGCCCCGGAGAGCTCTCTCTCTCTCGCTTTCTTGCTTGCTTGCTTGCTTGCTTGCTTGCTTGCTTGCTACAGGTCATATGGCAAGCGGACCGTTACCCCCCTCCCCCCACCTCCGCGCGGTTCTCTTTCCTCGTAGGGGGCGTGTCAAGCCCCCTGGCCTTGTGGCCCCCCATGTGTTATGGGGTGGCAGGGGAGCAAGTAGTTTGGGGTAGTTGTCTCTCTCTCTCTCTCTCTCTCTCTCTCTCTTTCTCTCTCTACCTCTCGGCTGCACGACCCGATGTATCAGGCCCTGTGCCTCGCCCCCGGCCACAACAGATGGGCTCGACATACTCGTAAGCATATCGTATTAAGCATTCTCGCATTGCGTTTTTCGAAGGCTCCGTCACGACTCCTTTCAGGCCGAGCCGCGCCAACCAAAGCAAAGGCCTCTTCGGCGTTCGCTGCCGCTTCTCCAGGCTCCGGCTGCTCTGGCTGCGCTGTGCCTTCCTCCATGTCTAACACAACATGTGAGCTTGCAAGTTCGGCTGTTCCTACATCTTCTAACAGCTAGTATGTTACGAGTAGGACCTGTCAGGGAGTCTGTGGGCGTTAGCCTCGTCTCTGCGTGCTGACCCTTCTGTTGCTGTCACATGCAGTGGCACGCGGGGAAAACAGACATACTACGCTGACACTACTGACTACCAACACTGGTACGTATGGTAGTTCAGCGTAAACAAGTCGGGAGCCGAAGAGAGGCAAGCGGCAGGAACTCTCATGCAGTTGGCTGGCTGTTGGCATCACTGCATGGTCACGACCAATGTGATGCTGGGAAGGTTTACTGCGGGCAAGGCTAGCACTCCTACCGAAACCAGGACTGTCAAAGTGTCAAGTATAGCCTGTAGATTCGTGGGCATTTCGGCTTTCGGTTCTGAGCTCAAGGGTGAAATCTGCCTGCAAATGCTGAGCAGCAGGCTTGAACATGTCGAGCACGAGCTTTCCAGGAGTCGGCATCTTGACGAAAGGCCGGTTTACTGAGGTTTGAGGTTACTAGTAGGGAATTTGTAATCCCGACTGAATATTGGAAGACTGACATGAAGCGGCAATCTCCTGTTCACATGTCTGGCACCGGCGCCGTTTCGCACCCTTTCTAAAAAAATGGGACATGTGTTCCATCCCTCTTATCGCTTGTTGAACCCATCCTTGGAACAGCTGAGGGCGGCACAGGTCCCTGATGCACGAACCAGCAGGGTACGCGAGGACCTCGATATGCGAAAGCGAGAGGAAGAGATCGAATCACAGCTCTGGCACTCTAGCAGACGCTCGCATGCGAGCTGTACTTCGGCCGTTCTCGGCCTGCTGGGCTAGGAATTGGAAACCTCTCTGCAGGGCATCTTGGTCGAGACGGAGCTGTCCAAGCTCCAAATTCGACATTCGTGACTTGCAACCAAGTCAACGGCTGGCGAGATTCTTCCGCCGCGTCAGAAGGTACACCTGGAATACTTGCTGGAATGGATGCTGTTCGCGCTTGTTTCTTCCGAAGCTCAGAATGACCCCAGCCCTCAGGAAAATTCCAACATGAGCAATTCGCATGTAATCCTTTGTACTGTAGCCGGTAGCCAGCCGCAGCCAAGCTTCAATCAACCCTCACGAGCAACTCCCGGCATCCGAGGCATTTCCACTTCCGGATTGCAACTGGTGCTGCGGGGCCCTCTCGTGGCCAAGTTACAGGTCACCGTGGCCATGTTGCAGCTATGGTGGGTCTCAAGCAAACTAGGGTCAAGCTGCGGGTATGGATTCAAATCTTCTTGTCTACTTGCCTGGGGTGGTGAGGTGGCCACGGTCCACCGATTCGCACCTCATGCACAAAGCGGCTGAACATCTTTGCATCCGACGTGGTCCCAGTCGCGCAAGATCCCAGGTCCAGAGAGCCTACCTCACCCTACCCTACAAGTAATGTGCTTCCCAGTCAAAGCCTGCTGGGTAGGACCACATCGTCTGCGAAGGCAGTGGTCGGGCACGACTGTCATCTCGCAGCCGTGCCGGTGTTGCCCATTGGAATCAGGGGATCAGGGGCAACCCAAGCCCGGCAGGTGTTGTCTGCATAGCTCTATCGCAATTCCCCCCGCCCCAATCTGAGCATCTAAAATGTGCTTCCGTGGCTGGCCCTTGGGGTGCTTGCAGGGTGCTTGACGATCCATGATGTGCTTGCGGGCCAGCCTCGAGAATAGCTCCCTGGCTTAGCCAGTGAGCATCAGAGAAACGCAGCTTCAACTGCCATGGATCCTTGCCCAAATGAAAAGATGGCGGCATGATGGTAGTGTGCTTCGGGAAGGGTGTCGCCTCACTGTTGGCGGATCCACGTCGAGCCCTGTGGAGCAGGTTTCTGCTCCTGTCTGGTTGTCCGGTGCCCTGGATCAGATGAATTGCAGCCTTCAAGATGGGACAAGCTTGCGGCTTCAAGTTGCAGGAGTTCTCGATGCAAGCAACATGTATAGTGACCAACTGGCACTTAAAGCCCTGGCCCTGTCGCTAAGTACGCATGTTGCACTTCCTGGTCTCTTGGACATGCCGGCTTCAGGGTATTGCCACTGCATGCCACGTGGCCCAGGTTGTATGCCGAAGGACACGAAAGCAGGGGCCGTCACCTGAAAGGAGCTGCGTTCTTGGAGGCTGGAAAGTCATTCGGACGACAGAAACGGTCAATGCCCTTCAGCTTCGAGGATGAACTCCAGCCTGCATTGCCCGAAGACTGTCACAAACCTTGCCAGCCCAGGCACTGCCAGGTCTCTAACCATCACGGTCGGCGGCTCTTGCGGGACGTCTGTTGCGCTGTCGGCCGTTGGCTTCAGCTCCTCAAGTCAGGAGGAGGCTCGTGGCAGATCGAGCTCTCTCTTCAAAGCTCGCTTCATGTGGCAAAATCTCGGTGGGCCCGTGGTGCATTGCTGTCCTCGGCAGCTTCGCGAGTTTCCGGCTTGCCACTTTCGGCTGCCTCGGGTGAATTCATCCGCAAACTTCGAAAACCGACATGCCGAGGATGTTGCGACATTGAGCTGAAGGTGGCTGCCACTCATTGTCGAATCTACCCAGGAATATCCACACGCTCCAGGCCAGCAAAGCTTGAAGCAGTTGCATGCGTACATCATGTTCTGTACATCGGGACTCTCCCAACGCAAGGAGAGTAACTGCAGCTGTGGGGCTTCTGAGGGAAGCTCAGCCGCTTCCGGTCGAAGCTCCTGAAGCTCTGCTACGGAGCCGAATGGTGGAAGGCTTCCCTGGTCCCACAGAATCAGTCAGGTGCCTAGTGTATTGCTTGTGCCTGAAACCGCCGGGAACAGCCTGAGAAGACTAAGCAAGATAACGCGTTCCTATATCGAGAAATATGTAGGTGCGGCGTGCATCTATATAGAGATAGGTGTGTACATATATATATATATATATATTTACATATGCATAGGCTTAGTTACGATGTGCACTCATCAGCAACTCCTGGACTGGCGGCTAGTACCCGTCTGCACTACGATCTGAAGCCTCGCTGACTCTGCAGACCGGGCTGCAACTTGAGTTGCAAACCGAACGCGAGACAACACTTTGTCAACACATTTAGATGTATTTTTGAATCAATGGACATGCAGCACGAAATGAGCCTTTCAGGACGCCCAGAGTCCCAGCCTGCGAGCTCTGCTCCTGAACCTCTGCCGGGTCTGCCGGGGCCTCAACAGTCTCCTGCTTGGCCTCCACTGGAGGCCCAATGGCTGAGGCCTGCCAGCAATTGGTGGCCCTGTTTGCTGTTTTTCAAAGCTCCCTGGACCTATCTACGACCCACCGGACTGTGAAAGGAGCGGCCCATAAATGCTCTGTGCCACAAGTGCATCCAAGCATCATTTGACTCTCGCTTCCCATCCTGGCCGAGTGTGCAAGTGAGGCGAGAATGGTGATGTTTCCATGAATACCTTCGATCCGCGGAGTTTCAAACCTTCGAAGGTCGAAACCCAAACAGCGCCCACCGAATGCCCAACATAAAGGTCTGACCTTCACAGGTATTCCGTAACAAATATCCAAGTATGCGTGGTATCGGTAGCACAGCTAGTGTATCCTTGTTCGCTTGTTCTTGGCTAATGGTGCTTTTGCTGCGGCTGCTGCTGACGTTCATTGTCACAGTCTTGCTTGGCCCGGATCTAGATGATACTTGCGACGATGATTCTCACCATGCTTCCGGCCTGATGAATAGCAATTGTCCCGCAATTGGTGGTGCCAATGGAAACGATCATGACGACTGAACTTATGGCGGGAATGATGAAGGCGATGCTGGCGACGGCTGTGATGCCACTGAAAGTGAAATGACAATGATGTTGCTGGTACTGGCAGTTATGATGCTGTTGATGACGATGATGGTGATGGTGCCCATGACGGGTGCGACGCTGATAAGGACAAATATGCACATGACTTGGATGAGGATGCTGCACATGCTGGCGCTGACGATCAGAGCGGTGATGATGGCAGTTGTGATGGTGGCGGCGGTCATGGTGAGGTGACGATGAGGGCCTGCGCACTGCACAAGTCAGAGCCCCAATTCAAATTCCCCGTCCTCGGAGCCTTGGACAACGGAGTCCTGCGGAGCGCTGCTAGAATGCTTGAGCTACTGCGAACTGCGCTGCCTCCAGGTTAATCTCCAAAGTCTCAACCAACCCCTACGTCACAACAACTCCTGCTTTACAACCATGCACAAGTATTTACTCAGCACCACCACCATCAGCACCGATGACAAGTGCTAAAACTACTACAGTCGTGTTCCAGCTACGAATTTCGCCATACCATCCATTTCGATCCACCAGAAATATGCAGTTCTCGTGGCCTTTGCATGGCCTTTGCTGTTTCGAGGTCTGCGGCTTCGGTTCAGTTCAATGAGTAGGCTCGCCATTAAGACTTGCACACTGCATCCAGTCTAGATAGGCCGACAGGCCTGCTACAGCGATCGGTGCTGGCCAGTGTGAAGACTACTTCTCAGTCTGCTTTCTGTGCGGCGTGGTAATAATCATCGATACTCTTCTTGCTCGCTACAGCAGATGCGCACGGTGTGTACAGGCAGGATGCTAGTTGTGTTGGATCTTGCCTCAGTTTTCAGTCCGATTCAAGCGACCAGTACTGTCAACACTGGATGAGTAGGTGAGTAGGTCGTCTGGGTTTGGGTTACAACTCGCGACGTGCAAGCTGGCTTGGGCCCGTGATCCTTCTTGACCAGTGTCAAGGCCCTCTCCAATTCGCCATTTTCTGCTGCCGCGATGAGCACGTTGGAGGCCTTGTGTATGCGCTGACAGGTGTAGATGGAACGGAAGGCCCGCTTGTAGCGGGACGCCTATCGTCGCATGTCCATGCAGAGTTGATGGCAAGACCTGGGAAACTTGCAAAATCTGGCCTTCATTCGGACGGCATCCTTCTGAGCCTGCCAGTATGTATTGTGGAGTGGTGCTGGATTCGACGCACTGATGCACAACAAAAAAAACATGAGGCCAATCGCTGCTCCGTGTTGACAGTTCTTGTCGTCCCTGCGTGGGAGGAAAGGGTTTCTGCTAGGCTGGGGGCTGCCGGTCCCGGCCTTCTTCTTTTCCTCTTCAGTGGGTTCTTGGGGTGCAGCCTGACGAAAAGAGTGCACTGTGACACTTTCATATACTTTCACCAAACCCAGGCATGCTTGAAGAATGATCATGCAGATTCTACTCGACCACTCGTGACTAACATGTGCACGTTCGCATTGATTGCTTGCGTGTCTCTGTTGCTACGGCTACTGCAACTGCTGCTAGTTTCTTTTGTCTGCTGCCGCGACGACGACGACGACGATTCCTACTCCTACTCCTATACCTCCTCCTGCTACTACTACTACTACTACTACTACTACTACTACTACTCCTGCTCCTGCTTCTACTCCTGCTCCTACTCCTACTCCTACTCCTACTCCTACTACGACTACGACTACGACTACGACTACTACTACTACTACTACTACTACTACTACTACTATGACGACGACCGCTGCTGCTGCTACCACGACTTCTTGCACTCCCATTCCGAATCTTACTCTTGCTGCAGCTG